TATATCGGCCAAAATCATCGGCCTTACGGATATATCGGCCAAAATCACCGGCCTTACCGATATATCGACCAAAATCACCGGCCTTGCCGATATATCGGCCAAAATCATCTGCCTTACCGATATATCGGCCCAAATCATCGGCCTTACCGATATATCGGCCAAAATTATCAGCCCTATCTATATATCAGCCAGACTCCAGTCTAGACCAGTGTTTTACAAAGTGAGGACCGTGGCCTCCTGGGGGCCCCCATGGGGTGCTAGGGGCCCCCCAGCAAGCTGGAGAGCAGAAGATTAAAAATAAATCAAAATAGTAATAATAATAAAAATTGCCCTCTAGGACAATCTGTATCTGTCATTTCTAGATAAACACGTTTGAAAAAGAGGTTAGATTTCTGTTGTTTTGTTCTTCTGGTCAAATACGTTGAAAAGCTTGGGGGGGGGTGTTTCAGTGGGAATATAAGTGTTTAAAACATGTTAGTTAATAACATTTTTATGCTCAGCAGCTGTAGTAATTAGTTTAATATAGTGACTAAAAGCTAAAGCATTCTAAAAGTTGATGTTTCTTTGCATATTTTGTAGCATTGTTTGTGAGTTTGCGAGAGGGGCCTCAGCCAGAAGCTAATGCTGTTTGGGGGGTCCATGACTTGGAAAAGTTTGGGAACCCCTGGTCTAGACCACGGTCCAGAAATTATAAAGCAGCATAAACTATAAATATGAACAAGAGCATTTGCATTTTCAATTAAAACAGTGTAAACACAGAGTATTGAACCACTTTGTTGTAATTTGCTAAAGAATCTGAAACTGAGTTGTAAAAGCTAAAGAAGCAGAATACTTGATAAAAGTAGCAAAAAACTATTTAAAAGTAAAAAAAATACTAGCTAAATTGTAGATATAGCTAAATATTTGTTAAACGAGGCAGAAGGCTAAAGATTAAAGTAGCACAATGTCAGCCAAACACTAAGACTAACAAAATGTCAGCTAAACACAGCAAAAGTTTAGCTAAAGGATAAAATAAACTTAAAATGTTAGCAGCTAGCTAAAACTAACATAAAGCTTGTTTAAAATTGCACAAAATTAGTTAAAACCTCAATGCCGCTAAAGGTTAAGTTAAACTAATATTAACAGAATGGTAGCTAAAAGTAGCGAAATGCTAGCTAAAAGCTAATCTTATCACACCTGTAGCTTCAAGCTAAAACTTAGCTTAGCTTGAAGCTTGTAAACTTGGCTTGAATAAACTCAGTAACACAAACTTAACGTCAGCAAAACATTCTCTAACAGCTAAACACCATCTAAAACGAGCAACACTGTAACTAACGTGGCTGAAGTGAACAAAGGTAAAGTCTAGAAGTAGCAGTACAGTAGCTAAATGCTAGAGTTAGCAGAAGGCTAAAAGCTAATTTTAACAAAACAGTAATTATAAGCTGAAGTTTGTGAAGCAGTTGTTAAAAGCTAAAGTTAGCTAATCCATAGCCAAAGGCTGAAGTTAGCAAAGCAGTAACTAAAAGCTAAAGTTAGCTAATCCATAGCCAAAGGCTGAAGTTAGCAAAGCAGTAACTAAAAGCTAAGCGCTCCTCTGTTCACGTTCTGATGGTCTCTGCTGTGGAGGAGCAGCTGAAGTTCTTCAGTCCACGCTGAGGAGCCGATGGGTTTTAATCATGTCCCAAACACGACTCCAGACAGGAAGAGACGAGGGACCATCCAGATGTTTGTGGTGTCTAACTGGCTGTGCTCTTCCCCTCAGAGCTCACACCTGCTTCAACAGGCTGGATCTGCCCCCCTACCAGTCCTTCTCCATGCTCTACGAGAAAATGCTGACTGCTGTGGAGGAGACCAGCACCTTTGGACTGGAGTGAAGTCTCATCTCGTCTGCTCGCCAGTCCAACCGTCAGAGCCCTGCTGGGCTGGGACCAGTTTTAGGAAGCGGGAAGTGTAGCATGACACCAAGAAGCAGAGACAGCTTCAAAGCCCACCTGAGTGTCAGACTGTGGAGGAAACCTGCCCGCGTCATGCCCTCCTCCTGGTCAGATCGGTTTCACGTGGTCCTGCTCCCTGAGGCAGCTGCCGCCAATCTTTAAATCAGGATTTGGGGTCATTCAGTTGGTTTGATTTAGAATAAACTGTGTTTTGATGACTAATGAAGACCCACACTGCCTTCAGGACTGACGTCGTCTCTGACCAATTACAGACGTTTTTTAAAATCAGCTGTTTTTGTACTGTAGAAGAGAACTTGTAGACCTTGAACAGGTCCTGAGGAGCTCCTGAAACATCTCCCCCTGCTGGCCAACTCTCAGCATGCGCTCATTTTGAGAGTTCGCTCACCGTCTTACCGTCTCACCGGCGATGCTAGGTGAGAAATCTGGCAGCCATTTTGTAAAGAGCTACGTTTTTCTGTTTATCGCGCCGTTAACCGTCAGATGATCCCTTCAGGACAAAATGTTTATCTGTTTGTTTGTGTTGTCCAACACAACTAAAAATCCTGGGGATCTCTGGAACAGTTTAAACTGTTCCTATAAGCTCACAGTAAAGTTACTGCCCTCTAGTGGTCCTTGGGGGAAACTGACCATATTGAAATCCATTATAAATGCACGTTTTGATCATTGTATCATAAAATTATGCATTTCTTTTAGAAACGTTTTCTTGTATGGCATGCCGTTATGTCATGTAATAGGTAAAAGTGGCTATTAATGACCCAACTGGCTTGCCACCTTCGTCCAGCTCGCCTGGAGCAACCGTTGAAGTGCATTTATGAAGTAAAAGTTCAACCGAGACACACCTTTACTATAAAGTCGAGCAAACAATTGTTTTTAAGCGTTAATCTTGTTCAGTTCTCGTTAAAGTCCTCCCGTGCACGCTCCCGCGGCTGCCATTTATGTAGAAGACAGGTGGCAGGCCTGAGACTGACGAAGTCTTTCAGATGAAAGACGAAACGTTTCTCCCAAAAAGGAGCTGTCCGGGTGACCTTTAACCTTTTTTTGTGATTTACGTACCTGGGCGACTGAGCGTACAAACCTTTTCTCTTTCAGCCACGGTTTGTTGTTTCCGATCGAAGCTGCGTCAGAAGAACAGTCGCTTGTCCACTCGTCATCTCTGACTGGTTCCTTCTCTGAAGCTCCTTACAAAATGGCGGCGCTGATTCTCATCTGTCGCCGTGGGCCGCCCTGGCACCGCCCTCTCCGGTGTTTCTGGTTCAGTGCTGCCACACCTCCCCCTGCTGGTCCTCCTCAGTAACTGCACGTGTGCGTTCTCCTCTCCGGGGAGCTCCACTCGTGATTTTTTTAAAGAACGTTGCTTCCGGCTGATTTTGGAGTCCGTTCAGAAGCTTTTGTACCACATGACGTGTTTTCATCCCCAGCAGGTGATTTTGTAGTCGTGCGACACGCTGGGAGCTGAACGCCACTCTGTCTCACCGTGTGTGGTTTTCTCTAAGACCGCCATCGTGCGTCCGTGGCTGACTGAACATATTATTTACTCGTGTTAGTCACAGAAGAGGGGGCTGTTTGAAGGTCGACACGTTCACATGTGGCCTAACGTCCTCCCGTCTGAACATCTGACCTGTCCCTTTGTCGCTGGAGGTGACTCCACGCGTTGACACGTTCTCCACACGCACGTCTTTGTGTTTCTACACGCCTTCAGCGCGGCACCACCGGACACTCACTTCACTCCAGTCGTGTGTGAACGGGACGCTCGGGGTCAAACCTGTCCCTCAAACTGGACGTCCTCTGTTTGAGCCCCAGTCCTGGAAAGTTGCGACGTCGTGAAAAGTGTCAAAGGAATCAGTAAAAACGCAGAATGCATCATTTTAATTTCTCGTAAACCCATCTTATTCACCAAGGAGCACCGTGAGCGTGTCGATTGTTCAAACTAACACATTGCACCGTCGCTCTACGTTTGTTGGACTCCCTAAGAGGACAGTCTGGAAGACGTGTCAGAAGTAAAGACGGGCGGTGGTTCACCAGAACACACGGCCTCACAAACCAGTGTTTACAATAAAACAGCCGTGTTGTCCGTCGACTAAAGCCTGCCTCTCTGATGGTGTAGAGGTGCATTTGGACCTCTGGAATAGGCGACTTGCACATCTGGAAATACTCCATCAATGCAGAAAAGCACCTTTGGGCTTTAGATCCAGATGTGCTTTTTCAGGGAAGCTCTGATTTGTTTCAGTAAGGATGAGCTCCAACCTGCGTCCGTCACAGCAGCGTGTAACGGGGCACAGCGTCTGCTCTCTTAGAACCAGACCCGGTCCCGTTCACAGCTGTGACACTTCTGGAGTCGGGTCAGTAATTATCTGGACGCAGTAAGTTTCAGATTGTACATATGTTAGAGCGCATGAGGAAAACACACATACGTCATGTAGCCTCGTCTCTCAATAACAGGACTTCTGTTTCTTGTCATCTTAACGTAAAATGTCATGAAGTTTAGTCACGACTGAACCAAGTCTCCACGAACTCACTGTCATGATGATATTTATGTGTTTTGACCGACTGTGGTGGGAGGGGCCAGGATCCAACCAAAGACAGAAGCCACTGCCTGTGTGCAGCACGAGGGAGGTAGAATCATGGCCAGCACGTCGTACTGTTTACACTGTCGCACGAACTTCAGATCGTCTGCACTGATCTGTGACCGAGCACGATGTACAGAGTGCAGCGCTCCAGTGACACGTTCTGTTCAGAGCGCCTGACCTCGTCTGAATGTTCAACCAATAAACTCGTGTCTGTACGCAGCTTCTTCATCGCGCCTCTTTCTAACGGCTTAGCAAGTGTGAAGGTTAAAGTCAGGGCTGCCGGAGAGCATGCGCATGTTCCTTTATTCTTGGAGGAGAACAAAACGCGATTCTAGCTACATGTTTTTAAACAAAGTTGTGTTTTTCATACAAACACAAAGAAAAGAACAAAACCCCACCCCAGACCAATCACACATACACAAATAATCAATACGTGGCATCGACAAGTTGTCAACAAATGACAAACGGCTGCCAGGTGCAGAACCTTCAGGGAGCACCACATGGCTACGGTGCATCTACCTCTCATCCATTGTATATAGGCTGGGGGGTGGGGGTCCTTCCACTTGCACAGAATGAGCCCCCTGGCCAGAGGAGAGCCGAACACAATCACGTCCTCCTCGCACGAAATCTTTAACTCCTCGATTTTCTGAATGTAAATCCCTGTGTTTGGACGATTTGTTTCCTCTGGTGTCGGACGCTGTGCAGCTGGAAGGATTTTTACTGAAACCTTTTTACTTTTGGGCATTTGTTATGTGCGTAACCACGGCAACAAGGGGGTTTTAAGAACCAGGAGCAGCTGATTAACATCTCAAAAGTTCAAATGCCTCAGCTACAGCCCCAAATCCCAAATGAGTTGAAAAGAAGGTGCCGTGGACCACTTCCCGTCAACCTGGCGGCGTTGCTCTAGTACCTGACCGCCGAAATCCTGGAGCTGGTGGAAAACTCATCTCTTGACAATGGGAGGACCGGGCGCACCTTCAGCTGTGTGTCCGTGGTGGCGAGGAGCTCGGTACACTGCTGGGAGGAGTGACCATCGCTCAGGGAGGAGCTCTGCCCGGCACTCGGGCAGTCCTGCTGCCCAGGAGGACCGAGAGGCTCGCCGGATCTGACAGCCAGCTGGATCCGGGTGGACAGATCGGTACCTGCGGCCAGATTCTTCAGATTCGCTGCAGGAGATCCTTCCTGCCCACAGCTGTCATAACAACTCGACTGAAACCAGGATGATGAGCTACGACACTTAATTTCCCTCTGGGATTAATAAAGTATTGAATATGCTGAAGGACGTCTCCACAGGGACCGCCCCAACCAGTGATGATGGGAGGACAGTTTCCCTACATATTCCAGAGAAGGGGTCAACAATAGATGGACAAAAGTCTGCAGTTGATCCAGAATGCTGCTGCCAGAGTCTTTGCTGGAGTTACTGGGAGAGATCCGTTTTAGCTTCTCTCCATTGGCTCCCTGTCAAATCCAGAATTATATTCAAAATCTAACCTACAAAGCTCTCAACAACCTAGCTCCATCTTGTATTACAGATCTTACTGATAATATTTTGATGACTCGGTAAGGTTTGAGAACTGAACTTCCTTTCAAATTTAGGGGTGCTTGAGCACCCCCCAAAAGAGGCTAAAACCTCCACTGGCACCCGTCTTCCTACTGAGGGGAACATTTTGATAGAATAACAATTGAAATGGCACAAAGTGTGCACGAATAGACGTAAAAATAAGCAGAACAGAAGTGTAAATGCTGAGTCAGTGTTTACAGCTAGTCTCATTTTCAGTGAGGCTACTTCACTGACCCAACATGCAGACATTAAACCTGCTAATAGCTTCGACTGATTCTCTTGTTGTAGGAAGTTTTCTCAGTAAGTTCAGGGAGCGTTTCCAGCCACAACACATATGTGACCCACAGGAACCAAAGGACTGTCTGCTCTGTGGTACAGAGTCCTGATGACTCCTAACTTGTGCTCCAAAGGGTGATGGGAGTCAAACTGCAAATACTGGTCTGTGTGGGTGGGTTTGCGGTACACCCCAGTTTGCAAATGTCCTCTATCAGAGACTGAGACCTCACAGTCCAAGAAAGCCAACCTGCCATTTTTTACATCTTCTCGTGTGAACTTGATGTATTTATCCACAGAGTTGATGTGGTCAGTAAAATGTTGGACTTCCTGAGATTTGATTTTAACCCAGGTGTCGTCAACATACCTGAACCAATGACTTGGTGGTGTCCCTGAAAAGGACGTCAAGGCTCTCTTTTCTACCTCCTCCATGTACAGGTTGGCAACAATAGGAGAAACTGGAGACCCCATAGCACACCCATGTTTCTGCCTATAATATTGCTCCCCATATGTGAAGTAGGTTGACTGCAGGCACAGTTTCAAGAGTTGACACAGTTTGGGTTTGTGGTACAGAATAAGGTCAATAACTTTGTCCCGCTCTAAATTTTTCAGGCAATCTATCAACTTCTTCTTGTAACCTGTAAAAAAATGTCTTCCTAACGTGTGTTCACATTTTCTATCCTCCACTATTCACCATAAAGTAATCAAGTATGTTACAAAAATTATAAATTAAAAAAAGAAACGCTCTTGTTCATTCCAACAATTTTCAGTCAGGTCATTTTATTTCTTTCTCTTGTCCTGTCCGACATGTGACACTTAGAATTATTGTGTCAAAGTGATGTCCAACAGATTTACTTTCACAAGTGGAGCATCATGGCTGGCCTTAATGCTCCACTTGATATATAAATTAAACTTTATTATAATTTGTTTGGGGCTTGTTTCAGATGTAATGGACACGGGGATGAAAAACAAAGAAGAAAAGTGAGAGAAGGGTTAAAAGATAAAGAAGGAGACAGGAATAGAGGAGAGAGATAAAGAGAACACAAATCAACATCATTGAACTCTGACTCTAGACCTGTGGAAAGAAAAAACGACAAAACCGAGAAACCACAACAACAAACAGCATATATAATGATAGTTATAACATCATTAGAAAGTATTTTATACAGTACATGGTAATACAAGATATATTTGATGGCCACCACAACCCAACTGAGTGTGTATCTGATAAACACCTGGATCTAAACACCTGTGTGAGCATGATGTCACTATAAGGTTTCTCCATTAAAATGTTCAATAGTGGATGTGGGGACCCACAGACCCGTCCCCACAGGACACGAAGGTAACACAGGGAAGACCAGAGCCACAGACACACAGCGGCCCCCAAGCCCGGAGCTCCGGTAGTCCCCCAACAGGGACACCTGCACCCTGAGAAGCAAAGGGAAGCCCCGGGCGATTCCCAGCAACCACAATAAGAAACCCCAGGAGGCTGCAACGACGAGTCCACAGGCCCCGCCGGCAACCCGCCCCTCCAGAATAGATCCAACCATGGACACCGAGCCCCTAGGTCATACCACCACCCCCCCCAACAGAGGCCCAACAGAGCCAGGGCACCCAGGCCCCGACAGGCAGCCACCACCCAGCCCCAGATGCTGAGAGCCGCCAATGCACCGGTGGCAGGTGGGCCCGTCACTGAAGGGGCAGTCAGGTCATCTGGACAGTTTATCTATTTTTTGTGCTGAAACGTTTCACCTTCCATCCAGAAGGCTTCATCAGTCAAGGAAACACACAACACAAAACTGATTCTTCCCCCAACAGCTTCCTCCAAAGTGGAACAAACCAGTTCTGTTGGTGCTAAGATGGTGTCTTTGTCACGCCCCCTCCTCCGGTGCCGGCCCTCTCCCTCATCGACAGTCGTGCCAAACTGGTTCAAAACCACTTGCCCTTGTTCATTGTTTCAGTAAATGTTTTCAATGTTCGTTGCTTGGACGGTCGGTCAGGTGCGGTGAAGGTCCAGTTAGCAGCATTTCTTTTCTTTGCAGAAAAGCAAATATTTCAGACAAACGATGCATTTCATTAAGGGTGACAACGATGACGCTACTGACACCGGACGTCCTCACCCACTGGAAGCTCCGTCTGCGTTGCTGCTTACGAGGCTAACATTGTGAGGATGGTGCAACTGAACACTAACGTTAGCTTGCTGACTTGAGAAGCATGTAGCTAAGGACGGGTGGATTAAAGATGATCTCATTTTATTTTACCGATCAGTTAAAACGGGCTTACCATACTTTGTTCAGCGGAGTGCGCTACACAGCACTGCTCCCTGCTTCGTCTGTGCTGAACGTGAACGTGAAGGTTAACATGACTTGAAGGTGGTCTTCGTGCGCCCTCTGTTGAGGACATTCTACAATTGTGGCTGGTTCCAGCATTTCAGGGGTGAAAATTTACGTTTTTATATTGTCGCATTACGGGACAGTTACCACCAATGCCCATGGGTCCCCAGACGTCTGTACTGGCCTACAGTTATCCATCACCAGTAACTCTTGATGTGTGCAAAGTGTGGGACAGATTACATTGTACAGTTTTTAAGAATGGTCATTTCCTGTTGAGTATTTCAAAGGGTTGACAGAACCACAACATGCTGTTTATTAGCGGAGCAGGACCTTCTCCTACTCCGCTCCTGTTTCCTGGAACATCTTACAAAACACCACATACAGAACACCATGGACTTATCTATATTTATATTCTTTCAACCTTTGTTGATACAGGTTAGTTCCATTGAGCCACAAGGACTCATTTACAAGAGAGACCTGGATTTTAACAAAGAGTGATGACAACAGTGGACAACAAACAAACAAAACTTAAATGTGTCTGAATCATTAGTGAATGTGTTGTTGTTGTTGTTGTTGTCAGTGTGTTATGATGTTGTGCTGTGGTCCAGTGTCTCCACAGACGATGTGTGTGAGGGTGGCCATGTTTGGAGGTTGCTGTGTTGAAGCTCCATGGATCAGCCTCTCTGCAGCTCTCAGCACCTTCACTGAGCTGCTCTTGTTCTTCACAGGTAGAAGGTGGGAGCTCTCGTCAAATCGTCATCTCCAGCATCTTCTTGTTCTTTGGGAAACCTTCACAATGAAAACAGGACATTTGTGTCTACACAAAAACATTGTACAGAGGACGTCAAGCTTATTTCCTGTATTCTCCATAGTTTTATATTTTATATCCTAGAACTTAAACAAAACTCCAGTTCTGATGCATATCTGTTGATAATGAACCAAAGCTGCTGAAACAGTGAGTATGATTGTTAGCAAAATATTCCTGTCATCAGATCATCGCATCAGCTGGTGGACATAAATACAGTACAGTAATATTATATTCTCAAAATACTAACAATAATATGTTCATGTTACTCTGAAGAGTTATCCCCCGAGACATGACGTCATCAGTCGATCTGAACAGAAAGAAGCTGCGAAGTGCTGAGACATCTGCTTTAACCAAAGAAGGACGACCTCTCCAAGATGGCGGCTGAAGTTCCTGCGCCGCAGCAGCCGAGCCCGCTCCCTTTTCACTTCCGGTTTCTACCCGGAGAGTTTATCCTGATGCACGCTCCAACATGGCCGCTAACTTGGAGCAAATTTTCCAAGATTTTATTTTGCAAAAGATCAGAGAGATTGAAGATCAGAAGGAGGAGACAACGTACGTCTTTCTGTTTTAACGCGTTTGTCTTTGACAACAACTCTGAGCTCACTCGTTCGGTGTGGTTGTTAAATTAATTTTAATCTTTAAATGTTGTCGGTCGTTCGGAAGAGCCAAACCTTCACTGCGCCTCAGAAAATGTTCCCAGACTGGCTTCTTTTGACCAGTGGGTCCAGTTTGTTCTGGTTCTGCTGGTCAGGCTGGGTCCAGTAATCCTGGAGTCCTGAAGGAAACGGTTTCTTTATTAAGTTAACGCGATGAAACGTTGTGTTTCCAGCTGTGCAGCTCCAGATGTGAGGCCGGATCAGAAGGACGAGCAGGACACTGTGAGGGACAGCAGCTCCCAGAGGAGACACAAGGGACACAAGAGACAGAAGAAGAGGAGGAGGAGGAGGAGTCGGGAGCAGGAGAGCAGCTCTGATCCTGGATCAGGTCTGGGGTCAGACCTCAGACAAAGGTCCAGACTCCTCAACACATCTGTGCTGCAGCTGGACAGGTGCTCAGCTACTACCACACCTGCGCTCTGTTGGCCGTGGCAGCCATCTTGGCTTGGACCAGCTGTGGACACAGCTGCTCTGACCATGTTGTCAACATCTGCCCAGTTCGGTCTGAGGACGTGGACACAAACCGTCTTCCTGTTGGAGCGCTGGGTTTAGTCTTCACCCTTAGTTCGCCCGCTTTATTAAGTGTCTCTGCTGTTTCAGCTCGCCTTCGGCTACTTTTCCATTTAGCTGCTGTTTACCTACTTGCAGCTGGCCACTGGATACCGTTAGGTCTTAGTGAACCTTTTAACGTCTCTACCGTCTTACACTTTTACACAGCCTTTAGTTAATGTTTAAATTATTAATAATTAATTTAAACCCTTTGCCTTTAGCTCTTAGGAAACCTCTTATGCTTTCTGATTT